CCACCAGGTCCATTGCAGATCGTCTGGGCAGCGCCCCCCCATGCTGTGGGCTGACTATGCCGTGAATGAGTGCCGTGTACGCCAGTCGCCTTGCCATGATGCGTTCCAGCCCTTTGGAGATTACTGAAAGCAGGGCAATGGGCCTCCAGGAGCGGACTGAGATTCTATCTCTCTTACCCACCTTGGGTATCATTGCCACCTCTGCCAGTTTCCAGGCTCGTGGGAAGTGGCAGAGCCGGAGGCAGCAGTTGTATATCTGCTGTATAAAGAGGGACACATGCTGCCAGCATGCTTTGAGCATCCGCACTGTGATTCCATCCGTGCCTGGGGAGGTGTTCTGTACCCCAATGGTGTTGCGCTCCACCTCCTCCATCCCAACCCGGGGGTTCCAGGGCAGGTTCCCCATGCCGCTCCAGTGCTCATCATCCAGTGGGTCATACTCCAGATCATCAGCTGAGTTGTATCGCTTCAGAATTGCTTGTTGAAGTGCCTCAGCTTTGGCGGCTGTCTCTTCTATGACCTGATCCCCAATCACCAGAGGGGGTGCTCTGAGGTTGGGTTCCAGCTTATGCCATGCCACCACCCGGTAAAGGTCTCTACCATCTCTGGCCTCATTGATCACCTGCCTCCAGTATGCACGCTTGGCCTTGCGCACTGTGTCCTTGAACTGGTGCTTCGCGGCCTCTGTCTGGTGAGTGGTGAGCTCTCGGTGCGCTCTTCGGCAGTCTGCTGTCCACCAGGGGGCTGTGGTCCGCCCTTGTTGAGCTGGCTTACTGACTGCCTGAGCTGCAGCCAGAAGACTCTGAGTGAAGTGCTGGGCCAGGTCATCAAGCTGTGCCACATTTCCAACCCCCTCTGGGCAAGGCATGTCCACCATGAGACCTCTGACAAGATCTGCAAAGGGCTCCAGCTGAGAGTCTGTGATCTTAATCCGAGCATCACTCAGCTGTGTTTGAGGTGTTGTTGGCAGCACAGTGACCATAGACTGGTGATCTGAGCCGCAGTGTAAATCTTGACGCACTGTAGTGGAAGCAAAGGTCACATTGGAGAAGGTGAGATCAATCACATGACCTGTTGCATGAGTTGGAACCCCTATCTCTCCCACAAAGTCCATCCCATGTTCACTGGCCCATTGGACAAGCTCCCCGCCTCGGTGCAGATTCACTGCCCCTGGTTCAAAGGCATCATGCCGTACGTTGATATCCCCACCTATCAGACAGCGGGCTGGTGGGCTCAGATTGGTCAGATAGTCCATGACTGCGTCTGTCCCAGGCTGTCTGTACACATTGAGAATGTGGCAGCCATTTACACTGACCCATAGCAGATCCCTGCTTTGCACAGACCGGTGTTGCTGTGCCCTTGTCTTTGAGCCCTTGCGTACATATGTCATGACCCGGGGCCTCTCCTCCTCTCGCTGCTCCGGGTTAGTGTCATCCCAGCGGTCTATAGGCGCAAAGCACTCATACGCTGGGTGGTTAGAAGTCTTGGTGCCAGGGTGTGTGTATGGCTCCTGTATACAGATCACTTCACAGCCCTGCTCGAAAGCAAGCTGCAGAGCTGCTGTGTGACAGGGGGCTGCCCTGGCCGTATTTGCCCAGAAGACCAGCAGGGGGCGATTTTCCTGCTGGTTGTTCCTGCGGCGCCAGCCGCGTCGCTGGTGTTGGTGTCCTAGCATGAGGAGTCACTTGGTGAGCTGCTGCCGAAGTCCACCTGCGGGATGAGGTTGAAGACCTCCAGACCTGCCATCTGCATGCTGGAGTCAGACTGTTCTTTAGCTGCTTGGCTGTGCTGTCGCACTGCTGTGCGAGCTGAGCGTCGCCTGGTGCGGGCCATCTGCTAGGTGGCACCCTCCTCACTGATGGAACTCTGAGTCGCCGCCCGCTTGCGGGGTGCCAGCCCAGCGGGCTGTGTTGACTGGGTTGACTGAGTGGTTGGTGTAGGCACCACCACTGCGACCATTGGTGCTGGCTGTGCTGGCGGCGGTTGCTGCTCCTGAGCATCCCTGTGGCACCTGTCGCCAAGGCGGCGAACAGCTGCTAGCTCTTTTTGAGTTAGGCGCCTGAGGGTGCCATTCACACGCCTGGGTGCGGCAGGGCAGTGCTGATGCCCAGCTGGGTACCCCTCATGCTGGCTTGTGGGCTCACTGCAGTTGGAGCATCTTGCCAGTCGCGCACACTTTGGTGGGTGGCAGAACCCCTGGCATCCTGGGTTATGTCTCACTGCCAAAGGCCTTTTCTCAATCAGCCTGGCCCTCTCACTGGCATTGAAGAGTGAGAAGCCTTTTACCGGGGCAAGGAAGGAGACAATCCATGTAATCTTCCCTGTCTTGGGGTTCACCCCATGACGCGAGGGTCGACAGCTCACTGGCTTTACCTTTGCCTGAGCCAGAACCTCTCCCTCGACCATCTTGTCTGTGGGGATTCTTGCCCCTTCCCAGTCCTGGACAAATTCTGGGACCCCTGGGACAGCATAATTGTACCACCGCTCTGGTAGCCGGATCTCCATGGCGCCAAGGACTTCACAGAGAGTAGCCACTGCCTTCTCAGTGGTCAGAGCGTCGCGTATGCCTCTGTCGCTTGGTGTGATCGCCCAACCTGTCCTGGTGGGCTCCACCTTCGGCACATTGGCCACATCCCCCACCCCCTGAATGTTTGCAGCGATTGCCTGCCGCACAGCATATGGCTGTAGCCGGGCGACCCGTTTCTCTGGCTGGAGGGTGACGAGGACTCGTGGGTCCTCCTGCTGTTTTGTGCCCCCTGTGGGGCCCCCTGGCTGACTGGCGCTTTTGGGCTGCAGGCTAGCTCCACTAGCCCTGCCTGCCGAGGAAGCCGCAGTCTTGGCAGGGGCAACCCCAGGGAGGGCAGAGTTTTTCCCCCTCTGAGCAACACCCGCCCAGGTAGTCGGCTCCCTCGCAGCTGTCTTTGCTGCATTTGGCTGCGGATGAGTATCCGGGGCAGCACCCCCTCTCAGAATTGATGCTGCACTCAGATCTGCTGTCACATACTTGACAAACCTCTCACAGAAGATTCGGGCAAAGTTCTGACTGACTGACTGCTTCTCCTCCTCAACCCAGCTGTCCAGAGTCTTCGCCAATCTGATGAGGGCCTTCTGCTGCAGGTTCTGTTGCTGCTGAGCCTCCTCAAACTGCTTCTGCAGCCGAGAGGTGGCCGTGGGGATGCTGTCGCTGGCTCCTTTGAGGACTGGGGGAGGCATTGTGACAGTCTTCCTCTGCCTCTTGCCAGCCTTTCCAGCGACAAAATTGGCCGGTGACTCCGGCTCCAGTGGCCTGGTGTAGGCCGTGTCGATGTCCTTGGGCGGACGGGAGGGCGTTGAGGGCTCCATGACCACTCAACCTGTGCAGTACACACACGTAGAGAGATCGCAGAGGGCGTGCGATGATATTGAACGGGTTGGAGGGTTAAAATTATACGAAAAACAGTTGGAAAAGTGGAAAATTCAAATGTACCCCTACGTTCGTGGGTAGTTGTAAGGATGTTATTTGTAGTAGAGAGAAATTGAAATGTGAGTTGCAGGAATCATCAACAGACTCTGCAGAGTTGAATAATGATATTTGATTTGAATAAAATTTGATTAAGACATCATTATTATGATCATATGTGAATGAGGCTGAGTTTTCGAGACCTTTATTTAATGTGATTGATCAAGATTCTGTTGAGATTGTGTATGTTTCATTGTCACTGTGCTTTCTCTTTCTCTTCTCTGACAGTTCAATTCTGCTCATGAGTTTATGCAGATGATCATTTTTCCTTTCAATTTGTTTGAATTTTGTGTCTATTTATTTGAACATCTTTATAGCTTCTTCCCACAGAACTGAATTGTCATTACATTCATCAGTGAAAAAGATGTTTAACAACTTTTATTTGATGCACTCAATGCTAAATTCTCCTTCACTATCTGCCTAACTTCAGTCAGTGATATGATTCTCATTTGACTGTATATGAGCGAGGTCTCTGCCACGGGTGACTGTCTCCATCAGTATATAAGTTATTCAGACAAGTAGAACAACCCACATGTGGTGTGGAACACTCACAAAGTTTCAAAACTAAATATACTTGATTCTCCATGATGATCTTTCTCATACTTCGCAAGAGAGAATGTGTTTGTTGAAAATTCCATCCCACATTGAAAACAGTATGTTCTGGTAAATATCATATGATAGAATTGATGACTATGATTCTGTGTGCTTCTAATGTGTCTGAGCAGGTTTTCAGCAGACTGATATTTTTTGTTGCAACATGGAGCAATGCACTTCAGTAGCTGCGGAGATGTCTGATCCTGGAAATATGATGCTTTTATTTCCTCTAAGATGCATATGGGACTGTCAAACATCATATTTAAAAGATGTTCTGCCCCCACGCTGTGAATGATATCCTCCAACACAACCACACGCGCGCGGAGACACTCGATCATTTTGCATAGTGCTCAGTGCTGTGTATTTGGGAGACTCTCAGGTGGAGGTTGAGGGGCCACGATGAAACTGTGCTCTAAGACAGTCATTAGTGACTAAATTGTGAAAGGGTTGGTGCGATTTGCTCATTCTGCTGGTGGAGATTATCTGTCATCGGCTTGTGGTGGTAAAGATGGACGTGTTCAGGGGACAACGGGTGCTAGGTGATTTGGACGATCAGCAGCTCCACTCCGGTTCGGAATATCACGAATCCGAAATCGGCTACAAGGGCTTTGATTAGCGTGGGCTGCTTCCTTGGAGCTGTTACAGAATAACCTTCGAGTTAACTAACTTAACTAACTAGTTTATGGGCGGCCGATAACATTTGGCACACGCCAGTAGATCCATTTGTCACGGGATCACGCGTAGATCAACCTAAGCCAATCAGAGGCGATAATATTATTACTAACAGCTCATACCTCGCTTCTCCTCGTCCCCTTTTCCCCTTTCTTGCTGAAACTCGTCTGTGTGAATGCATAATCAAGTTCTGTCTTTGATATAACTATGTCTCCTATTCTGTTTTCAAACTTTCATGCCAAACAACGCATCCATGCCAATAGCAAGGAGCCTCCTAGAAAGACAGATCACCTACTCTGAGGCAAGGAAGGAGGAGACGACAAATATTTTACAAGAGTTGACCTACGTGACCTTGGCCGCATCTTTTAGAGATCACATTGAAAAGAAGAGTGCAACCATCAAGGCCATTGTTGCTCATCATCTCTATTTGACTCCAGCCTCGTGTCGCGTCAATATTTCAGACCGCTCTGAATGGTTAAATGGCAGCTTCAACCTTTGTGTCCCAGTCTCCATTCAAAACCAGAACCAAAAAAGTAGCCGACGGGTGCTCATGCGCTTTCCTCTCCCATATAAGGTAGCAGGACCTAACAATGGGGACGAAAAAATTCGGTGTGAAGCTGCCACTTATGCCTGGCTTAATCAGGAATGTCCGAACATCCCAACAACTTGTCTCCGGGGTTTTGGGTTATCAACTGGTCAGAGAGTGAGTGCTACTCAGGATTGAAATCAAAAAGATATATAGAGTTCTAACTATAGATGCAGTTCACTGCCATTAGAAACGCTTCTCTTTTGAACAGATGTCTTCAATATCTTAAAAGACAGATATTATCTCTGTTCCGATGTCCTGCCCCCTGCCAGTACATGAAACACCAGACTTCTGCACCAGATGAACTTGGCATTGGCTATTTGCTACTTGACTATGTCGAAGATGGGAAAATGCTGTCTCAGTCATATGCTGAGCAAAGCCAAGATACAACACTTAGGAGCAACCTTTTCAGGGATTTGGCCAAAATTCAACTTACCCTCTCCCAAAAGCCATTGCCGTGCATTGGGTCGCTCACTATTGATGATGATGGAATCTTGAGTCTCAACAATCGGCCTTTCACTTTGGAAGTCTGTCAAATGGAAAACGAGAAAATTCCCGTTGAAATGTCACGAGGAATAACTTATTCAACTGTTGACACCTACATTCATGACCTTTTGTCTCTTCATGACAACCGATTACGTTACCAGCCAAATGGAGCCTCGAGTATACAGGATTGCATCAGCCAGATGTCCGCATTGTCAACCATGAGAACTATATATTCCGAATTTTTTGACCGCAAGCTACGATCGGGACCATTTATCCTTACCCTTACCGATTTGCATACAAGCAACTTCTTTGTCGATGATAACTGGCATATCACGAACCTGGTTGATCTTGAATGGGCGTGTATTCGTCCTATTGAAATGCAACACCCTCCATATTGGTTGACAAGTCAGGCAGTAGATAGAATTGATGAAGACCGATACAGTGAGATATGCAGTGAATTCATAGATGTTTTGGAGGAAGAGGAGAAGAAGATGGTGGAGGAGAGGCTCCTTGAAATGGTGGAGGACGACCTCTCTTATACAGAGCTTTTGAAAAGATTATGGAGAAAAGGGACATTCTGGTATTGTTTGGCACTAGATAGTCCAACCGGACTCCATCACATCTTCTACAATCGCATCCGACCCAGATACCAAATCCCATACAAACAACCCGAAGAATCCAAGTTTGATGATGCCTTTTATATCGCCGCCCCAACTTTCTGGAGTTCTAAGGCTTGGGACTTCATGATCTCGAAAGCTGAAGATAAAGAGCAATATGACAAGCAGCTCCTAAATGCCTTCCAAGTGCATTCCCTTTGAGAAAACAAGACCAATGGGTGCAATCCCTTTCGAACAAATTCAGATTCTTCTACTTTTTTTCTCCTTTCGTTTCTGTCTTTTCGCGAGCGAGCGCCGCCGCCCGTGCACCGGCTTCGTCCAAGGATTTGTTCGCTTTGTTCTCGACTCTCGTGTCTTGAGCTCTCCGACCCGATGATGACAACTGTTCCGCAGTCTTGCTGTCGATTTTCTTCCCGCCAATAACCACACATGCTTCCCTCACTTCTCCATCGTAAGAGTCGGACCGTCGATCGCCCATGGTTGAGGTGGAACGTTTTCTTCTTGTTCCTGGTGCGGAGCTCCGGCAGGTCAAGATGGAGTAGGTAAGCCTGTGAAAGTGTCTGAAACTGGAGGGTATTCTTTGTAGTTGAAGGTAGCTTGTATTGAGGAATGTTGATATAATGTTTTCTTTGCGTGTTTTGGAGTCAAAATTCACTTTTCTGTCCGACTGGGGGATCGAGGATATGTTTTATTCCTAGACCCTCGTGCTGTAGGTTGAAAGCACAGACAGATATGTACATTCAGATCCTTGATGGTGGCAACAATAGCCTTGTTGGACCTCAATAACTGCCCAGTAATATATGCAGGTCGCCCATCGATCTTATCTTTGCGTACTTTTTCCCCTTTCCTTTTCTTTTATTTCCTTTTCTCTTCTTTTTTTCGGGTCGAGGGTGCAAACCAAACATCCCACTCTCGCTGAACAGAGCCCGAGCAAGCCTACCGGAGTCGCCGATGGAAGAACAACAAATCACGGTCCAGATCACCCCACCCTTCGCAAAACGCGGCATCGCAGTCACTGCCATACGGTTGCCTCCAGGCCCTGTCGCATGCGGAACAGCAGGCATTGGATATTGTCATGTTAGGTGGCTTGGGAATACAATCCAGTTACTGAGAGATGCAGCCAGCCAGTCAGCATTGAGAGCCTCGTGTGTCTTATCCGATTTGGAAGCCGAAGCCCCACGCGTGCAGGATATATTGGCGCTGACTCTTCGTCAGGCATCAACGAATGGGGTTTGTGTGATTACCTTTTTATTTCTTCTATTTCCCCTCTCCTCTTCTGTTTCCTTATTTTCTCTTATTTGCTCTACGTCCTCTATTTCCCAAGCTTCTTTCTCTAACTAATTTTTTCCTCCAATCGCACCATGGTGTCTTCCAGGTCTCTACGTGTTTTCAACGTTTTGCAGGAGCTGAATCGACGTCGAACCATACCTGCATCCTATCGGGAAATCCTTGAGGAACGATTGACCATAACCTTTAAACCTTTGGGAGTTCGACTGAAACGCGGCAAGACACCTCGCTCAAAAAAGGAATACAAAGAAAAGTCGGGAGATAGTAACGGTGAGGTCGAGGACGGCCTTCCAGATATCGACGTCGGGTGCTTTCTCGATGACGAGCCGCACCAACGCTCGATAGTACTCGTAGTTGAAGTGACCTTGTCTGAGACGCCTGAATAAACCTGCTAGGTCGGAGTCAACGTTATCATCGCTTGTCCGTGAGCGAAGGTTGAACGCCGCTTCCTCCCCCATCAAAGTGGTGAGAAGTTTTGATATTGCCTTTCGGCAATTTTCGTCTCGAGGTTCGGTGGTGACATTGTACACTTGTTCTGCCTCCTGAAGTAGGCCTTGTAACCGATTTAGCGAGTCATTTAAAGGATATTTTGCGATGATGTCGCGATCGTTTTTAGGTAGCTCAGCCATTTGTTGCGTTATGGACGTGCATGTTTGCTAGCTATCATTTGCGGTCGGTAAGGGAAAAACAGAAGCGAAGCAGCTGCCAAAAACAGTTTGGGTTGGATGTTTCCGTAGACGCTGAAAGGTATTGGCCCGACTCTCTGTGCTCAAGCCTAGCTCGCTTGCCAAGACGTGCGTCGCGGTATCCCCTCGTCGGTAGGTTTTGTGCAAATTAGCGTGGTTTCGATAGTGTATATTATACGAGATCTTATTGAGCAGCTAAGGTATTTTTCGGTATTACTTGGTATTAGTGTATTTTATAAACCCTAATTAAGGATTCGCGCCGTCACTGAGCCATCTTATGAAATTCCTCCCAACATCAAGTTTTCAAACAAAGAGGTGTATTTTGACAAGCTGAGCAATCAGAACTTGATTGACCTGCTCTTAATCCTTTCTGCTGTCCTATCTTTCATTTATACTGACACCAGGCACAAACTAGGCATTTTGACAGTGAAATTCATTGGTGATTTAGATCTCTATTTGATCGTTTGATAGAGAGGTTGTCATAAATCTTAGGTGCAAATTCAAAGAGTTGTTGATAAAGCTTTTCATGAAAGCTTATATGAGAAGGTAGATCCTTTTTGGAGACTTCCTGCTGCTTCTTATATAAGTAGTAAAGCCGGTAGACATTAACCATTGTAAAGTCAATAAATCAGTAGAAAATAGAAAGTCAGATCTAATAGGTAATTCTATGGCTAATATATACTGCACAGTACTGATTTGCTAGGTCAACTTCATTCATATTATGATTGTAGTCATCTATCATAACTGGGATTTTCAGCTTCTTCTGTGGCTGATCTTCAAAGACTTTCCATACAATATTGGCATTGGTTGAGAGCTCTCCAGACCGCTTTCAAGTACATTCAATAAAGATGTCAAGCAAATGAATGGTGCTTAGTGCTAATACCATATTATTATCTTGCCATGCAAGACAGAGAACCTTCTCTTGTTCAATAGTATATAAAGTATTTCATAAAATAGCTATCATATAATCTCTAAGCTTTATAAGAACTGCCAGAGCCTGATTTGAATAAATAGTTCCACATACATCATATCTCTTTTCATGTAGGAATTTGAATAGTGCAACAGATGTAAAGTAATTATCTCAATAAACTGAATAAGAAGTTATCTGTTGAATGATAGAGAATTCAGTGATCAGCTGTATAAGTAACTTTGTAAACAGCTTTATGAGCAGCTTTATAAGTGGCTCTGTGAGAGGCTTTATGAGCAGCTTCATGAACAGCTTTATGAGCGGCTCTGTGACTGGCATAGAGATAGTGGAAAGCTGTTGAAGAAGATTTACCACTATAGATTCTGTATTTGTTAACTCTGAGAATTGAAACATAGACATTATACTCTGTTGATGACTTGATGAGAAAAAAGATCATAAATAGCTATGTTCTGCTAAGTCAAATATCTTATATCCTCAAGGAATTAGCTTGGAAGGTATTTTGTAGATATGTTGGTTCCATTCAAAACATTTAATCATTATCTCATCTATTGATTATTATTATTATTATTCTTCCATTATAGATGTATGCAGTCAGTGACTATGACATCTACCTGAAATACTCCAGGATTTTTCAACTTAAGAATAAGCTAATATACAAAGTCAATTTAATACATGCAATGGCAGAATTCCAGCCCAGAATCAAACAACTATTCAAACTATTCAATTTAAGAAAGAATGTAGCGTACGCAGCTCAGTAGGATAATACACGTCTGATTCTCTAAGAGATGAAGATGGGCGGACGCCCCTATATATACATGCTTGTTTATTTACAGTGATTGATTCCTGCGGAAGGAGCGATCGCAGGGTTATAAAAGGAAGGATAGAAGCCTTGAGTAGGGGCGGAAGAAGGAAGGGGTGGAGCGGAAGCTCTGGGAATCAGCGAGGGGTGGGTAGGGGCGTAGGTACGCCACAATCTTTTTTTCTGATTTTCTTTCTCTTAGTTTCTTTCTTTAATCAATTTATAGATTGTATTAAAATAGTGCTAGCTGTTAATCAAAGTACACTTTTTATATAATTTAATTCATTATCCCATCAGTCAGTCTAGTTAAAATTATACTGTAAACAATTGAAAAAGTGGAAATTTTAAATATATTTCTATGTTTATAAGTTGTAAGAATGGTAATAAATAGTAGCTAGTTGCTGTTATAAATAGACATGGTGTTAAATAATGATGATATATTGAAGTTTAGAAGATTTTAAAATATTATGGTTGTAGTGATATTACAGTTACACTAAGACGCACTCACTAGAGAGAATAAATGTGTTTGACATAGTTAACAGAAGCTAACACGTCACAATTATGAAAATATATCAGAAGCTTATTAAAAACCTGCAGAAAGTATAATAAATATAAAAGGTTTATTATAAAAGACTCGATTGTATAAGTTAATTAATAACAAAAGTTAATCCATCACATCTACAGAGGAATTGTTAGAGACTACACAATTGCAGAGTGGAATTATAAGTAGAGGGGTGTTTTATAGATATATGAGAAGATATCAGAAGATGTATGAATGTGCGGTTTCCTACTATACTGCGGCTGGCAGTCGCATTGTCTATTGTGGTGGATGTAAAGCTTGCGAAAACAGAATTTTCTTGCCACCCTCTGAAAAATAGTAGCAAAACACTGCAAAAATAATCAAAATATTTACATATCTTTAAAATCATTCAAATATCATTTAATTCATTTAAATCCACATCTTTATCATCAAATACACACCTTTATCATCAAATCTGTCAATATGCACTGCAACACCCATCATTCTACTACCTCACAAACTTGTAAATGAATTTCAACTATCTTGCATTTTCATCTACTCAAACTATCTATGTTGAATGTTCTGAATAATGATGAGAATCTAACTGATGATGAGAAAAAAAATAAGAAGAAGGAGGAGAAGAAGAAGAAGAAGAAGAAGAAGATATAATCAGAAAATTTTCAATTTCTGTAAACATCTACTTCTGAATCTGAGATTTCATTCAGATTGTATGAATAGATGATTATCAATGAAATAAAGAAGTCTATAAAGATCAAGTTATGAAATGTCACAATAAATGATATGTTTGTTAGCTTTTATTGTATTCAATGTACTGTAAAAAGAATAGCTAAAGAGTATGTTATAAAGCAGAATTGTAAGAAGATAGAAGTTGCAAATTGTATAATAATGTAATGCACTCGTTTATTATTTCCTTATTATTATATTATCTTTGTTTATATCTTCGTCTATTCTTACCTCTTTCCATTATACTCTCGCTACCACTATTTCTATATGTGTATATATATGGATGCATGTGTTTCGCACATCTTCTTTCTCTTTCTTTTCCTCTTCAGCGATTAGCTAAAACTACAACTACAACTAATTAAATGAGCATGATTCTTTACAAATTGAGTGTGAAATAACTGCTCACTGATATTATTAAAAGATAAATTGTCATAGCTCTGAGCAGAGTATTTGTTGAATAGCTTTTGATAATACTCATATTCAACTTCTGAATAGTGAGATTGCCAGTTGGATACATGATGTTGAACATGAACATACAATAATTAAAAATCCCTCAAGAAAAATGACAAAAAAATAATGAATAAAAAGAAGAAGAAGAAATAAAAAAGTGAATTTATCTCTGCTTCTAATTTTTCTATACAAACATCTCAGATGTCAGCAGTTATATTCCTTCTCTTAACTCTTTTTTCATCTAATATTGTGTTTTCACGTTATATAATTAATGTGAAAGTGATGAAATATATGATGAAAGGAATGAAAGATATGAGAGAATTGAATTCAAATTTATCATTGAATTCAAATCTATCATAAAATTCAAATCTATTGTCTAATTCAGATTTATCGTTGAATTCAAATCTGTCATTCAATTCAAACCTGCTATTGAATCTAAACCTACCTTCTATTTGAAATAATTCAGTCCTTTAATTTGATGAATATACAGATCTGTTTATTGATGAGTTCTTCAATTGATTGATGATACAGAGATTTTGCAAAGCAGAAGCTTTTTTAACTGCAAAGAGTATTATTCAGAATGAAGAATTTGAATTGAATTATATACAGACAATGATAAATAAACAGATGATTTAGTTGAATATTAAAATGAGTATATTTTCAATAATAAAAAATGAATTAAAGAGTTCTATCTGACAATCACAGTTGAAGAAAATTAAATTGTTTTTATTTATTATTTATAATGATAACAGCAAATCTAATACTGCTTCTATTTTTGAATTAAAAACTTAGATATTATATATCAATCTGAATTACAATCTGAATCTTTTTAAATTTTATAATATTATTTTATATAAGTAAATCTGAAATATTCTGTTGCATCTTCTTCTTTTATAAAGTTTTCAATTGTGTGATGTAAGAAAGCTTCAACATTTTCATCAAATTGATTTTCCTGATATCTGTATCTTTAATCCATTTTTTCAACATGTGAAATGACTTCTCTATAGAATTATAACCAGAAACAAGCCGCAATCGCTCGCTTGCGCTCGCTTATCCAGCTTGAAAACGCGCCGTTTAATCCCTCGGGTGAACGTAATGAGATATCCAACGGCTGCACGTGACTTATATAGGTGAATTCCATGTAATCTACAGCTGTTAATAGAGAACAATCACATGGATCATGCTGCTGTCTGTATAGAGAATAGCCATCCTCTTTAACAGCTGTAGCACTCTGAAAAGTCTTGAGAAAATGTTTCATACACCTGTCATTCTTTGTGGCAGAGACTCATCACACCAGCATTACATGAATTATAAATCATGAATTTACAGATCAATTCACTCAACCCACTTGTATTTTCAACAGTGCTTGACAGCTTTGCAGATATAATCTCATCAATTGTCTCAAGCTGTAAAAACTGCTCAGAGTCCTCTAATCAGATCAATAAATGCATATGAAGTAATTCACATTTTTGATATTCAATTGTTCATACTCTGATCAACATCAATCTGAACAGCTGTTTAAATTTGAGAACATCAAGAAAATGAAAAATCTTCATTGCAAAAATATATACAATCAAATCTGAGCAATCTACTATAATCTGATCGGAAATCAACTCATAAATAATCTCCTTTTATTCACAGTTAACTGTAAATATAATGAAAAAAGTTGGATGTTTGTAGTTGAAGATAATTGTCATAGAATTCTGAAACAGTTTACGCATAAAACATTCATTGTTTATATGAGAAGTAGATAATATCATATGATGATCAATCTGCTCACAGTTCATATCATCTGCTTGTATAGCATCATATAAACCATTATATTGATCAGCACAAATTTCTGATTGATGAGTGTGAACTCAGTTCAGCCATTGTTCATCAATATTGATGTAAATATCAATTAAATACTGCTGAAATAAACTGTGAGGGGTGATGACAGTGTGAAGAGTGAATAGTAGAAGATAGTATAGAGTGTAGTGGAAGATAATAATAATTATAGTAGTAGTATAGTTGAAGTTGTAGTTGTAGTTGTAGCTAATCGCTGAAGAGGAAAAGAAAGAGAAAGAAGATGTGCGAAATACATGCATCCATATATATATACATACAGAAATAGTGGTAGCGAGAGTATAATGGAAAGAGGTAAGAATAGACGAAGATATAAACAAAGATAATATAATAATAAGGAAATAATAAACGAGTGCATTACAATTGCCCCCCTTTTTTATAAGAGCTGCCCTCAGCGATTGTATAGATTGCTTGCTAGTAGATGTTTGCATTTCCGTATTGTGGATGCCGCTTGTTGATAGCAGTGTATCGATCGCGTCCCCTCAATAGCTTGTATACGCGTTCTTATCGATTCCTTAATGAGGTAGAATTGGTGGATTCTTTGGTTGCTAGGGGTTGCGTGCAGAGAAACAAAAAGAATTTCTTTTCCTTTGAAAATTTCTCTTCTTTTTTAACTTGACCATCATCAAAAGTCTTTGCCCTCCTGCTGCGATTTTTCGTTCCTAATTCAATAAAATTTTTGTTCTCCCTCCCCCCCCCTTTTGTTGAAATGGGCTCCCTAGCTTTAACCCTAATCTCGTGGCGTACAACAGTTGGATTCTGTGCGAACGTTGTGCCTGGTCCTTCCAGGGCAGAGGTGTTAGAGGAAGAGGAGGGTGTGGAGGAGAATGTGGGGGTTTTGGAGGTGTTGAGCTCCGGGGGCTCCGTGGCGGAGGGGTTGATTGGGGAGGAATTGGCGGGCGAGGAGTTGGCGGAAGAGGAGCTGGTGGGAGAGGAGCTGGCGGAAGAGGAGCCAATGGAGGAGGTTGTGAAGGCGCCGGTGGCCGTAGTGCCATTGGCGTCTGTGGAGCAGGGGGAGCGGGTGCCCCGGACGGTGGAGGAGTGGGGGGAGAAGATGGGGGGGAATGCCTTCGTTAACCGGATGTGCCGGAGAATGGGTAGGTTGATGGGGGAGGGGAGGAGTGAGGAGGCAAATGTTCTGTGGGATAGGCATTTATTTGCCTATACCTCTGCGCCCAAAATGGGTGCCGGTAATTTACGAATACCGGAAGGAGTATTGGGTGAGATTTGCGCTTCTAGCGTTTTTCAACTTGAGATTTGCGCTTTTGGCGTTTGGGAGTATGTTGGTTTTGTATTTGTCGTTCATTTTCTTGTTCAAGGAAGATTTCGAATGCCTGAGTGTTTAATATGTTTTCTTCCGGTTCCCATGTATCACCACTAGGTCCCCAACCTGTCCATCTCACAAGATATTCCGGAGGTTTGTTTTTTCGTTGTCGTTTTTCAAGAATTTCCTCAACTTGGTATTCTTCTTCGCCGTCGACAAGTTCCGGTCCTGGTTCTGGTAAAGCTCCATTCCTGCGGTTGTATGGCTCCAATAAAGAAACATGGAATACAGGATGGATGTTTCTATATGAAGGTGGCAGTTCCAGTTTGTACGCTTGTTTTCCGATGGTATTCAGAATCTTGAAGGGTCCAACATATTTATGGTCGAGTTTACGAACCGGGCGTAGTAATCGGAGGTTTTTTGCATTGAGCATGACGTAGTCACCTATTTTAAATTGTTGAGGCTTATGTTTTGCATCGTAATAGATTTTCTGTGCTTGTCGTGCTTTTTGTAGGTTCTCGATGAGCTTGTGGCGTGTTTCCTCAATATGTTTCGCGCGGCTAGCAGCATGTATGGCAACCGGTTGTGGTGGTTTGCTGACGTTAATTTTCAAATCAGGTCGATATCCCATTAAGGCTTCCGCGGGTGCCATTCCAGTAGAGGCATGTTGAGAGGTATTGTAAACAAACTGTGCTAGTGGTAGCCAGCGTGCCCAGTCATCTTGATGATAGTTGACAAAGCATCGGAGATAATGTTCCAAGGTTTGATTCTGTCGTTCCGTTTGGCCATCTGTTTGAGGGTGAAAGGCTGTCGAAAGTTTCCGGCGTGCGCCTAGCATGTAACAAAAGGTGGACCAGTAATGGCTTGTAAACAGCGAACCTCGATCGGATATATGGTTTTTAGGTACTCCGTAAATTGTATAGAACTTGGTATAAACGATTTCCGCTAGCTCATCCGCTGTAATGTTTTTGGTGCAAGGAATATAGATCGTAAACTTGGTATATATATCCACAATCACTAAAATCGCATCGTAGGTTTGGTGGAGGAATGTAGAGGCTGGCAAGCCTGTAATAAAATCCATAGTAATGGATTCAAAAGGATTTGATGGTAAGGGAATTGTACCCAACTCTCCATATTGTCTGTGCCGTTTTGGCTTAACTCTTTGACAAGTATCACAAGTGGATATATAATCTTTGACATCCCTGACTAGCCCATGCCAATAGTATTTGTCCTGGATGCTGTCTATGGACTTTTTTATACCAAAGTGACCCCCCTGCGGATCATCATGGTTTGCACTGATAATTTCATCAATGAGTGCCTTTTGTTGAGGGACATATGCGCGACCATCAGCACGCAATATATCATCCTCAGAAATTGTCCATAGCATATTTTCAGCAACAGTCATACCCTTCTCTTTTACCTTCTCTCTTTGCTCAGCAGCAAAAGAATCGATCTTCTGTGCTTTACTCAGAAATGAGGTGAAGGATTCAGGCATTTCTGTATATGCTGAGTCCCCAAGAATAGCCTTATTGACTGCAATCCGGGGCATATATTGCTCAACGCGCATCAGAGGGGAAGAGTTTACGCGAGAGGTATAAGACGTCGACGTATGGAGCGCTTTTCGCTCATTAAAAGGAGCATTTTGCTCATTAGAGACCCGTGCACAGACTACATCAGAAGAAATATCATTTTGAAAAGAAGTATCAGCTTCCCAGCCTAGCTTAACTCCATGTTTCAGTTTCTGTTGCAGGGTAGGTAACATAGTTTGGCCATTATAGGCCTCACTGTAGTCTGCGCGACGACTGGGCCCATCAGCTGGATTCTTTGATCCAGGGCGGTGCAGTAATACAAAATCATAAGCAGATAAAGCTTCCGCCCATCTGGCCTGACGTCTGTTCAGTTCCTTAGTCGTCATAAAGTACTGCAGATTGGCATGATCAGACCAGACTTGAATTGGATACTGGCTTCCCTCCAGATAGTGTTTCCAATTCTTAAATGCTGCTACAATAGCCAAGAGTTCTTTATCATGAGTATCATAACGCGTTTCCGCATCAATCAACTTTCTTGACCAGAAGGCAACTGGATGCCAGTGCCCGTCATCCTGCAATTGTGACAGGATAGCAGCGACTGCAAAAGTGGACGCATCAGGTTCAATCTGAATACGCCGAGCTGGGTCAAAATGAGCTAATAAAGGAGCACGCATAAAGCGCGATTTGAGCTCATTGAAAGCGCTTTGGGCACTTTCTGTCCACATAAAAGTGGCTTTTCTTTCCCCTTTCTTGCTCCCTTTTGTAAGTTCGAATAATGGGGCTGCAATAGAGGAGAAAGACTTAATAAATCGCCGATAGAAGTTAGCAAAGCCCAAAAAGGATTGAACCTCTTTAATTGATTTAGGTGTAGGCCATTCCACAATAGTGGAGACTCTGTCTGGCTCCATCTCAATACCATTTGTACCTATAACAAACCCCAGAAACGAGACTTTGTCCACTTCAAACTCACACTTAGAGAGTTTTGCAAATAGATTCGCACGCTCGAGACGTTCTAGCACCTTAGTAACATGCACTTTATGTTCCTGCTTTGAATTGGAGAATATGAGAATGTCGTCCAAATAAACAACGCAACATATATCCAACAAATCAGACAAGGCATTGTTAATGTATGCTTGAAATGTCGCTGGAGCATTAGCTAATCCAAATGGCATAACTACATATTCAAAATGTCCATATCTCGTTCTAAAGGCTGTCTTCCAACGGTCTTTTGCCGCTATAAGTATGCGGTGGTAGGCATCTCGAAGGTCCAGCTTAGTGAATACCTTGGCTTTTGAGAGCCTGTCAAGTAATTCACTTATTAGAGGTAGAGGGTATCGGTTCTTGATGGTGATTCGATTTAACCCTCGATAGTCTACACAAAGACGGAGTCCACCATCTTTCTTGGGGACAAAGAGAATTGGTGCACCAGCCGGGCTACTGGACGGTTGTATCCACCCTTTGTCTAATGCATTCTTTAAATATTCTCTTAGGGCAGCTAACTCAGTTTCAGAGAGGTTGTATATCGGCATGAATGGAGGTCGCGCACCAGGCTCGAGATCTATGCGGTGTTCCGCCTCTTCTGGTCTTTGCGCGCTTATAGCAGCTTCTTCTGAGAAGATATGCGCGTATGGCATAACATAATCGGGTAGGCCGGTCGGCAAGTCCGAATATGCAGCCGAGAATACGCGTGGAGCATGCTTTGGGTCTTTTGAACATTCTGTAGGTAATACTACAAGCATTCCTACTCTGGCTCCGGTGAGAACTTCAGCTAAAACATCTTGTTCAGAAATAATTTGAGGCTGTTGTTCATCTCCAGAGCTTCTAAAGAAGAATTGTCCATCTGACCAATCTATAAGAGGATTTGTTTGTTTTAACCAAGGAAATCCTAACACAAGATTGTAGTCCTTCATTTTCATCGCATGGAAGGAATGAGATGTCTGCTGTGCATTACCCTTGTGATCAGTGACAGTGGTTGCAATGTTATACTCTCCAAAGGAGCGCATTATGCATCCATCAATCGATTTGACCATCTTGGTTTTGCGGTGAGCAGCTTCTAGATTGTGGTCTTTTGCCCAAAATTCATCGACACAGTTCACTTCTGACCCAGAGTCTACTAGTGCAAGCACTTTTTGCAGACTCTTAGGCGTAGTGATTTCCACTGTGACAGTGAAACTTAAGGCATTTTTGCATCGACTTTCCGCGCTTATAGTTGCCATTGCGAGCTGAATGGCGCGCTTTAAGCGTTTTTTGAGTCCTTCGTGTTCTTCGTATCTTTCGCATTGAGTTTCGAGTCGGATTTAGTGTTTTTGGATTCATCTTTGGGTCGTTTGAAGCATGAATCGATGGTATGTCCTGGTCGCTTGCAATAACGGCAATATTTCGATCGGGTGGAGTCATCGGACTTTGTAGTGTCATTCCATCTGCGTTTGTTTTGTGGCTTATTACAAGCATTATTTCTGTTGTTAAAGCTTTGAGTAGGGTTTCTGAAGTTTGACTTCTCTTTAAGTTTCTTCCGTCTTTCTGGCAGATTTGATTCTGCTATTGCAAGTTTGTGAAGAGTGGCATCATAGCTTAACTCTTCTAGTTTGGTTGCATATTTGTCAAATTCTCGGCGAATGGAAGGTAGAACTTTCATGTAGAGGTGTGATTTCCGATGGTATTCGCTATAAGGATGCCGCAGACGCCCTTCAATTGATTGTAAATGTGAAGCAAATTGTTGAACTGTCTGATCTTCTTGTTGCTCTGTTTTCCAGTACTGTCTATCTGCATCTCGGAAACTTTTATCTGGATCGGTGACTTGACATTGCATCCAGCTAACAAATTCTTCCCATGGAGGCAAAATCCGCATATCATGTGTATGTTGATACCAACGTTGTTGCATCTCGACATTAAAATGAGTGACGGCTTCGATGACCTTCCGATGGTCGTGTTCGTTGTAATAATCAAGATCACTGGCATGGAAAGCGATAGCAGCTGTAACAAAGTTTTCAAATTCTTTCATGCTTTGGCCTCGGAACTTTTCCACATCTCTCCGAGGAGGGTGACCGCTCATGCCGGGATCTCGAAGTTCTAATTGCCAAAGTGGTACCCGACTACGTCTCCCACTGACAGTAGTCACGGCGCTTTCCACTAAGGTGTTGGGCGCTTGTAGCGTAGGTTCCGGTGGTCCGAGGATGCTTGTGGCGTTTTCGCGGTTACAATTCACGCTAGTTGCGTCTCTACCATGGTTCGGATGCGCTTCGAGTGTATTTCGGGTGGCTGGGATGGTTTCATCTAATTCTTGCAGTAAAGTATTGCACCGGTGTTGGAGTTCTCGCAATTCCTTCTCAGCCTGTAACTTCTTAATTCTCCTAGTCACAGCTATCTTCTCGGCCTCAATTGCATTCAAATCTTCAGAAGAGGTGTCCCCTTCTGAACTATGCTCAGAGTCTGGTTCCATAGGAGAGGTTGATGCTTGTTGCACACTTTCAGTGGCAGGGGTGCGCGTTTCACGGTTTTCTTCACTGGTGTTTGTTGCTTCTGGTTCGGCGGTAGCACGAGTACGGCGGATGCTGCGGGTAGAGGCCATGACTATTACTCAACGGACCGTCTCTCGAAGATTGAGCGATTAGAAACTGTGAGGGGTGATGACAGTGTGAAGAGTGAATAGTAGAAGATAGTATAGAGTGTAGTGGAAGATAATAATAATTATAGTAGTAGTATAGTTGAAGTTGTAGTTGTAGTTGTAGCTAATCGCTGAAGAGGAAAAGAAAGAGAAAGAAGATGTGCGAAATACATGCATCCATATATATATACATACAGAAATAGTGGTAGCGAGAGTATAATGGAAAGAGGTAAGAATAGACGAAGATATAAACAAAGATAATATAATAATAAGGAAATAATAAACGAGTGCATTACATAAACATTCATCCTGGAAAAGAGGAGCATCAACATTATCTTATTGAAAAAAATGATATACATGCTATATACATAGAGTCAGACTATAACTGCCACATTTATCTTCATGTTTAACAACATCATCAACATTATCATCAGAGTTGTTATAGATAGATGAGAGGTTTGCAAACACATTCATATCAATATATCAACTGTGATCTTCAGAAGAAAAAAGTAGAATGTAATGCAATGAAAAATATAATAAATTGTAAAAATCAATATATATGAAGCTCAAATCAGCATTAAATTGTTTTAATGTCAGAAAAATAATATAGAGATGATAAGTGCTGTTGAAGGTGTTCTGTATAACAACTGCAATCTCTGATATAGTAAGCAGATTCTCACAGCAGTGGTCACTATCTGCTTTCAATTGTACAATAAAATTCAAATCAAAACATGCAGCAGAGCTGTCTCATAATATCTTTTATACAAATTAATAAAGCTGAATAAAAGAGTTAATCTTAGAAATGTTAGCAGTCAACAATATAATAGAAAAATATAAAAAAGTAAATAAACAAACAACAAACAACACAATACAAATATGATTAAATATATTAGAATGTATGATAGAGTTCACGTTATTTACAATACTCATATCAAATTTTGAGTTGTGGATTTACACTTGTGTAAAATAGATATTTTCATCTGATTCAGATTTTAACAGCCTTTGCAGATGATAGAGTTCCCTCTGTATTTGAAATAACATTGAATCATTAATAATCAGATAATTAAGATGTGGATTTTACTTGCATTTAAAAAATATAAATATCAAAACAGAGTTGTAGTTCTGAATATGTTTGTGAAAATGCTTCATATCAAATGTATTGTCATTAAACAGTTCATGTAGCTCTGATGGAGATTTTCTGACAGATAACAATCTCACAGCATCTCTTACACAGCATATAAAAAACATTGAGAAGGTTTTTAACAATTTATATACACATTCATCAATTCAATACTTAAGTATACAAACAGAGCGGTAGACATTCATTCAATTAAAATTAAATGATTGACAGCAACAGATATAGAAATGAAAGCTGTAGAGAATAGATCAACAATTGTAAATAATTGAAGAATTAACAACTGATTTAAAAATATTTAAATTGATTCAAATGTTGCAATCATTGAGAGTCAGCTGATTCACTGAATTCATATATATATAATCAGCAAATTCATTTGCTGTAGAAACTGCAGCAGCAGCTGTTAAATGACAATGTTTGACATTTTGAGAGCTCAGCAATCAGTGCAGTTCTTGAAAATATGAATAACAATATGAAACAGATGATTTTCACAGCATATATCACAGTATGACAATTCAATTCACTATAAGTTGAGCACAGAAGCAGCTACATTTCTCAATGACAGATGAAAGATGAACTAAACATATTTTGCATATGCAATACTGAGTGTGATGGTATGTAGAGCATGTACGGAATAATGCATTGAATTGAAACTGTTCAAATACATTGAGAGGATGATAATCCCCATGTAAGAGATGGGCTACAAGAGTAATTACAAGAGTAGTGTGAAGTACGCATAAAGGATATTAGAAAGGTAGCAATCTCTATTGTTCAAAGCTAATCGCTGATCTCCTAAAATCCACGGATATCAGCGAGCATTATATAGATAATATTGCCATCGCCACGTATCTATCGCCACGTATCTATTTCCTAATATAGATATCTCCGTTGCGCCTATTACACCCCACACAATGAGCAGAGGTGCATGAAATGAGTATATTAATGAACATATATAAATTGTAATGAATGTAGAAAAAAGTATAAAAAATGTAAATACAGTAGAGAACATCTGTAAAGAAAATAATAAAGATTAATATCAGAGCTGTACAGGCCGCAGAGCCAGCTGTTCAATCCATTCATGAATTTGATTGGGTGCATATGATATCACATGAGGTCACGTTACAGTATTTTTTTCACGGAAAAAGTTGGTTTTTCTATAATATAAAGAGAGAAATATGAAGGTAAGAATAAAAATTCAATGTCAGTTGCTTTGCAGAGATCTCACAATACTTGTGAACAATGAGAAAAGCAATTATTCATCATTAAATAATGATAACTTTGTTGACATTTAAATAGTATCTGAATACATACAAACTCATTGAACCTCTCTGTATTATAGAACCCTTGATATATATCATACTCAAGATATTCATTAACATTTATTACAGATAAGATTAATCATTTATGAAATTGTTTATAAAGTTTTTTAATGTGATAAAAAAATCTTTTATTTGATCATTCAAATCATCAATCTGCAGTACATTCATTCACAGCACTCTTATTTAAAAAAATAAATTGATCAGATTGATACTGAGTAATTTGAATATATCATTCAATTCAAAGTTTTTCATCATGTTGACTGGTCACAGATTCAATTTATATCAAATAAAATTGACAAATTAACAGATTTTATAAATGACAATTGCAATAATTAATCATCTTCTTTCATATCAAATTCAATTTCTTCAACAATCTAAATATCAATCAAAAATGAATATCAACATCAAATTCATTCTTCACAAAGCAGACAGCTTCATTGCAATATACAGTTAAATATATCTCAAAAAAATCCTTTAAATCTGATAAGATATTCAATGTGAGCTTTGATTTTACATCTCGTTTTGAACAAAGACTTCTAGCAGTTCCAAAGCAGTAGATATTTTGTTGAATTTGATATACAATGATCAGATGAAACTCAATGGTCCGCATAAATTGAGCAAATATATAATCATTGTTTAGAAAATGTACAATCTTATTGATGATAAATTCATTGAGCTGAGAGGGCATATTGACAGATTTGATGATAAAGATGTGTATTTGATGATAAAGGTGTGTATTTGAATGAATTGAATGATATTTGAATGATTCTAGAGATACATGGATATTTTGGTTATTTTTGCAGTGTTTTGCTACTATTTTTCAGGGGGTGGCAGAAAATTCTGTTTTCGCAAGCTTTACGTCCGCCACAATAGGTGGTGGATTGGGTGGCCACGCCCGCTGTGGGCTGAGCCACCCACCACGCCCACAGGTATATATATCACTATGAGCGCAACCATTTACCAAATGGTTATTTGGCTTTTTACTATTGATAACCTAGTGGTCAAAGTGCTATCTTATCACAAATGGGAAGAGGGTTGATTGCATAAGTTAACTCCTAACAGATGCTAACTCATCACACTCACTTTACAGCTAAGACTTCAGTTTATTCTCTTAGAAGATTGAGAAGTAAATTTTATTCCTGTGGTTCTTTTAACCACAATAATTATAGATTTGGTTTTATAAAAAAAAAAGGAATAGATAAGCCAGTGTGAAGAAAAAACAACAATGATTCTGTCGATCACCTAGTCTCGTGGTATCTTTCGTCTCAATTGAGTCAACACCAGCACACAAGCAGAAAAGAACGAGTGAGAGAAAAAATTAAAAAATCAAAACTCTATGTTTCTTTGATCCCTGGTGGTAAATAGGGTCCCATTGTCTACTCCTTTGACAATGCTATATCTCATAATGAAGAGGGCAATTCGGATCAATAAAATCATTAGGGAGGGGTCGGGGTTAGCGAAACATTTCCTTGCACGAGGAATTCCCCTCGGATAGGACACCGTTGGATATGAGGGCCCTCCTTCGCTCGGCGGCCTGTCATGCTGAAGGAGTCTTGACTCTCGCCAGGGCTCTGTGGCTGCTGAGGCAGTTGTTGCTGCTGTTGCGCTACCACTTCTCTCGCATAGAACTCAACAAGCATTGTGCCATAAGCTTCCAGCTCTTCAACTGGAACGGCAAGACGGAAGTCATTTAGGAGGAGGAATTGAAGTTCAAGATGGTTAAGCTCGAGGAGAGGGAGGCCACCAACCTAGAATAAATTTTTGTCAATTACAACTGAAACCGAATCGAGTCACAAAAAGGCGGGAACCTGGGTCTACCTTGGCGTATCTAGAGTTGGTGTAGAAGACATCAGAGAAAAACTTGCTCGCACAAGTCACACCTGCGATAACTAGGCGGTGGATGTTGAAACTGTCGACCACAAAGTAATGAGGGAGACTGAGTATGTCGTCTTCACATGTTTCCAGGGCAGTTCTAGAAGGCACGATGGACTGTGAATCTATTGCGGAAGGCGGGGATGGGGAGGGTGGATCGGTGTCTCGCGCCCGCATCTGAATGGAGGAGGGGGGCGTGACGATAGAATCGCGTGTAGTGGGACGGTTTGAAGTAACCGTAGACGGGAAGGAGGGTGAGGAAGAAGAATGTGGGCCCACACCGCTCCTGTATTGATCGGACCTTTGTTGCAAGCTGTGGATATAACCTGTATTTGCCATCTCGGTCATGCGGTCGAAGTAGACTAGCAGGCTTAGGAAAACTTCATAAGTGGTTGGGCAGTACTTGTGTATGCGGCTCAGATAACTCAGAATAGTAATGCTTGGGACGTTTTTTCCATGGAAGGCGAGCACGCTGGTGGTCTGAGCACTGATGCCTCGTGGGCTGTCAACTGGCGGAATGCTCCGATGGTTATGTTGATGTTGCTGATCATTGGTTGTGGTTATCTTGGTCAACAGGCCAGCAACCATTTCGATGATATCTGTGACTGGCATCGAGCTGATCTCGTACTGGCGGCCGACATCCTGCCGGCAACGGCTGCCGTTGCCCTGGTCTTGAGCCTGGAAGCGTCTGGATGAGGCGAGGATCTCCTCGTTGGCAAAGCTGCGAATATGGGACAAGCCATGGACCTGGATGCGACTCGGGGTGGCTATTTCAGAGGGACCCAAGGAGTGCAGTGAACGGTAAGTTGGGTGCAACCTAGGAGACGAATGGCCGGATGGATGATCATTATCCAAGCCAGAAGGCGTGTTGGATAAGGGAAAGCCAGCCTGGTGGAAGCCAAGGCTATTTTGGAGAGGATGCTGACGGTCGGCAGACCGATCGCGATCTGGGAGGCCGCAGGGTTTGGGAAACGAAGTCATCGACACAGCAGAGATTGGAGGACCTGATGTTTGAACGGGTGGCGGATCATTCTGTGAATCGTGTACGAGCGAAGGATTCACGGTGTGCGCGGAGGACGACAAGGAGGAGGGGTAGGAGGCTGGCTGAGGAACGGGGTCGGTATGTGGAACAACTTGTGAAGAATGGGAAGAGGAAGGGTGGAAGGGCGAGGGCGAGGGCGAAGGGGAGGTTGACAAACTGGACGTGGTGGAGTTGGGAGCGGCAGAGCCTAGCTGGCTGGAGGTGGGCTTGGGTGGAGGGGTCTGTGAACGCTGACGGGAGCAACGACGTAGATTCGAGGGGGGGTGAGAAGACAATTGCGAATGTTGGCAACCAGACTCAGATGCAGGCTCAGAAGCAGCAGACACAGATATGAATTGGCCCACCGACGCGTTGAGCATGGCTAGGACTGACAGCTGCAGATCCCATATTACCATAGGAATGCAGGGGAAGAGGCAAGCATCATTTGGCTCCCTCTCTGAAAGAGGGTTGAGGAGAGGTGAAAAGAGGTCAAACAAAGCTGGAACTATTATTATGTTCTTTACAGACACAACCTTGAGGGATATGAGTAAGAGGAACACCGGTGATGTTTGCGATCACTGATCATTTATCTTGGTGATGGCATGTAACCTGTTTACTTGGCTTTAACTACGGAGTAGAGTGGCCTTGTATTTCTTGAAGGGTAACTAGTTATTGTGGCGGATGTAAAGTTTGTGAAAACAGAATTTTCCACCACCCCTTTAAAAATTAGTAGTAAACCAGTGCTGCAAATATTCCTGTATCTCTAGAATCATTGACTTATCAATTCAAATATCATTTGAATATATATTTTTCTTACCTTTATCATGAAATATGTCAAAATTCTCTTTCAAATCGCATTCATTAGTAATTAGCTGATACAATCTACCTTTTATCACCCACCCACCTACTTTCACATTTTTATGAGAGTCCTTCTTCTCATAATTCTACTCCACAAATTATACAATCACTAATATTTTTCTGCTCTATGCTTTACTATATTACTAGGGTCAGCCTGACCCTATCAACCCCCTTCTGGGGGTGGGCAAACGAGCCCCTAAATCCCGGGGGATGAAGGCATCTTCAATTCTTTTAATGGATTTGAAAGCTTAGGCATAAAACTCTAGAGCAGGAGCTTCACGGAATATGCAGCTGGGGCAGGACGGAGCAAGAAGCTCTGAAAGCCATGCTCTTAGATATTATATATGTCATCGATGAATATAATTGCTATATATATCATCGCTAGCTATCATTGATATATCATTGCTAGATATCATGGGGGATCTTATTAGCAGATCTCATCAATAGATATCATGAATGGATATCATTCATTCAGGCAGGTCAGTAGATAGATGGGCAGGTAGTTAGCTAGTTGTCGGAGATAATATCTCATAATATCTGGTATAACCTCAGTACTTCCTTGAGCGCTGCCTCGCTCGTATAATCGAGCTTTCCCCTCCTTATAAATACTGCCTGTTTATCGGAGTTATCATAGTCAATTCAATTTTCCTTTGATAGTTATTCAGTATTTGTGCCAATATTCGGACATTATATCGTTCCGACCGCATATCACAAAACAGAAATGGGGTGGATGGCGTAGTGGTAAGCGCTGTTCATGCTTTCTCAAGTAGGCACTTGGTGTTGGGGCCATCTTTGCTGAAACAAGAAGGTAGTGGGTTCGAATCCCACCTTCTTCAAAAAGAATATTATCACATCTTGATGAATATTGAGGGTATTTTTTCTTATCTCATTTCTATTGGTAACTGCCACTGCAGGGTGGAGCAATGTTCAACACTATGTATATAGTTTAGATGGATTCAGTATAGTGTGGGATTTTAAGGTGTTGTGATTCTTACATATCTAGTTCAAGTGATAAAGGATTGCTTAGTATTGCATGAGCAATTGTGAGGCAAGGCCCCTCTTGAGAGTTAGATTCAGAATGATATAATGAAGTCTCTTCATCGAGAATGACTTAATTATGAATAGAGAAATGTAACTAAAGAGTAGAGTAGATTAATGAGATGAAGACTATCATAATCTCAGACTGCATATGATCTTAGAAAAAATATAAAGAACAACAACAACAACAACAACAACAACAACAACAACAACAACAACAACAACAACAACAACAACAACAACAACAACAAAATAGAAATGATATATATGAATTTGATGATAAAGCTAAAGAAAATGTGTATTCAAATCATATTTAAATGATTTTAGAGATATATCAATATTTAAACTATTTTTGCAATGTTTTGCTATTAAATAAGAGAATAGAAAATTCTGTTTATACAGTCTTTATATCCATCACAATGTTTCAATATAAACTGCATTTATCACTTGTTATCTTATTCATTATTATCCATTGCTCACAACTCATATTTCTACATCTTGTATGCTCAATACATTGAACTTCATAGCAAGGTATAATTCAATATAGTAATAAATGATATTTTATTAAAGAAAATATACTTTGACTCTTCTGTAAAAATGGAAGAGAATAAAGATCTGTAGATGAATGTTAAATTATCTTCTCTTCAATCTTAAAACCATCAATGTTATTGAAAGTGTTGAGCTTCAAAAACTCAAAGATTGAAAGATTGATTGAAAAAAAGTTAATAAAAAAGATAATTGAGAAGAAGAAGAAGATTGTGATGATGTTAATAATGAAAGCAGAATTTTATAATATCTGTTTCAGTAATTAACATACCACTGACATTGATGAACTGAGAGAAGCATTTTTAGATAATGACAAAGTGAAAAAAAATTATAAAAGGAGAAATGTTTCTTCAATAAATGTATTGAAGAATAAGAAGATTGATGAGAAAAAAAAAAATATGAAGATAAATATTTTATAAAATAAACATTTATCACTATTTGTGTATTTCAAATGAATGCTGATAATTTACAAATATCAAGAGCAGTACTGAGAGAAGTTGATGAAAAAGAGAAATGAAAAGAATGAAGAAAAAAAGCGAAAATAAAAAATGAGAAATGAAATGAAAATAAATGAATTGAAAATTTTTAAACTTTTTTTAAAATCTGTTTTCTTTATTTTTTTCTTTATTTTTTATTTTTTCTTTATTTCTATTTTTTAATTTTCTGTATTTAATATATCTCAAATTGAATTTCTCTTTTCTTTTTTCTTTATAAATTCTCCTCAAAAAGTTTCTTTAAATTGAATTTAAATGAATGTATATATTTAACATTTCATCATTTATGTGAGGGGTGATGACAGTGTGAAGAGTGAATAGTAGAAGATAGTATATAATGTAGTAGAAGATAATAGTAATTATAGTAGTAATGTAGTTGAAGTTGTAGCTAATCGCTAAAAAAAAAAAAAAGAAAGAAGATGTGCGAAATACATGCATCCATATATATATACATATAGAAATAGTGGTAACGAGAGTATAATGGAAAGAGGTAAGAATAGACGAAGATATAAACAAAGATAATATAATAATAAGGAAATAATAAACGAGTGCATTACAGTTAATGAAGTTATAATTTTGATAAAAATAACTTCAATAAAAATACAGTTATTTTTTCTTTAAATAATAATTATTCAGATGATCAATTCTCTTACAACTAATTTTATTGAATTTATTTATTTAAAAATATTTGAAAAAATATCTCCTCTCAGATCAGATGCTGTGTTCATATTCAGAATTATATATTTAATAAATTTTTTATAAACAATTTAAGTGAAGTTCTGATTTATTGAATGTTTCTTCTTTTTTATTCAATTATTTAAAATTTTCATTAATTTAATAAAAGTTTTTTATTATCAATTTTATTATTTCTGAATCTTCTCAAATTATTTCTGCAGCTGAGAAATGATTGCGAGAATGTTGTCATTGATTTTTTTAAAAATTGAAGCAGATGTTGTAATGATCTCTCTATTTCTTTTCAATCTTTTCAATGATAAAATTTATCAATAACTTCAACTTTAGTGATCTAATGTAGATTGCATCAATGTTTTTAGTGAATGAAAAAATATTAAGAGCTTTATAATCATTCAATCTGTGCAAAATAACACATACAGAGCAATCATAGAGAATGTGAAATGATATTAAATGAATTAAAGAATTGAAATTATGTTGTAAATGAATGTAAAAGCAAGAAATTCAAATATACCTCTATATTCATACACTGTATTAGAATAATGTTAGCTGTTAATTGAAATACATTTTTTACAATAAAGAATCTATGAACAATAATGAAGTTCTGTATATTAAAGATACAACATTGAATATATTTTGAAGTTGAGATGAGAATAGAGTTATAAATGATATGAGATTTTATTATATAATTTAAAATACAATATTTAATCAACTTTATATTCTGAAGATTAATTGCAGCTATCAAAGTCAAAGATGAATCAATCAAGTATTAATGAAGAAAATGTATATAAATATTCTTTATTGATTTAACTTTATAAAATATGTATATAATTCTATATTGAATACCTGGTTGAGATTTTATTTAATATCTAGTTGAGATGGGTAGGGTGCTGAAGCTTAGTGCCGAGCCTCTAGTACGCTGACTTATTGAACACCACTGTACATCTGCTGAGTTTGATATTTCACTCAGAATATACAATTTGCTGTTCTGTAATACTGAAGTTAGTAAAGAGAGTTGTATTAATTCCAGTGGCGCTTTCAATCAGATACTTGTGGCATTATAAGTGTATGACAGCATCAGTCAAAACTTTTGAAACCGGTCTCTGTATTCCTAGTAGAAATGTTGATCCCTCAATGTGGTGCCATCCATCTTCTCCCATAGATGTTACGCTTGAAACAAAAAAACAAAACGGCATGATTACCTTGCTGGAGTTTTCAACAAATCATCCCATATGGATGGATGGGGGTAGAAATAAAGGGCACTGGGGAAAGCTGCGCACAAAAGGTGAACAAACAGAAACCAAGTCTTATTATCCTCTTCATTGCGAACCCGGACCGGTATATCCGTTGTCTGGAAGATACAGATGTCGCACTGCCCCCTTCTCCGTCAACACAACCATACGGATCACACCTCCAGAGCTACCATCCCATTTTATCGCTTCTTGTAGTGAGTTCTTCACAAACTCGATCCCTTCCTCTTCCGTCATTCCCTCCCGCCAGTTCGCATCGCAGTAGCCGTAGATATACGTTGATCCGGAACCACCAATGGCGTATGATTGTTTGTGCAGGGAACCGCCCAGTGGTATCGAGTATACCTGTCCTCCATGTCGTGCGTCGTAACCCGCGATGATGATTCCTGCGCTATATTGTTTAAAGGTACAGTTAGCATTGGTAAACTATCGTGACATAATATAAGATAAAATCTGGTGAAGAAGGCGTGGACGGGAAGGTATTCCTTGCCTGAGAATATCCTTGTTGTCATAACAAAGTTCCTGGAACAACGCAGCGGCAGTTTGGGTTGTTGGGCGCTCTTGGTTGACTACACCATACATTCCCAGATGGTAACTGACAATGTCGGCAACAGCTTGTGTATCCGCGGCAGATCCTGACCGACAGCACCAAATGGTATCGTGCACCTGTGTTAACTTATCCGTGACTCGATTTGCGATATAAGCTCCTGTGGTCGTCCGACTATCGGCTCCGAGAATAACACCATCTTTGAAATTGATTGCCATGCTTTTCTCGAGATAAGATTAGCAATTCAAGCTACCATACTGCTATATATACATGGGATGGAAGCTTACATTGAGGTGCCAAGGCTATTTATTGTGCGAGTAAACGGGTTAGTTGAGAGCAAAGACCACATAAATAGGCAAAAAGGTGGCATCAGCCCATACTTGACCTCTCCTTTCTTGAGGTGATTCATGTCAATATGGATCCCATCTATGGCATTGTCAGTTCCACAAATAAGCCTCATCATCAATTCAACAACGACTAACCTTCCCCCAAAAATCCAGTAACCCCATGGACAACCATTGCAACGAAGTGACCTCAACTTGACAGGAGCTTGGAGACACGGGAGCTAGGGACAAACAAATTGCTGGGCAACAGGAAATATGCAGCCTGGAAGATAAAGAACGAGCTCGTTCAAATACAGAGGAAGTGGTTGAAATGAAGTGGTTGGCTGACTTTAGGTGTCTTGATGTAGGGTGATAAGGCACCCAGTCTACGAAATTTATTAGCGCCGGCAATTCTAAGTGGTCACTGCGCTTACTGTGACGGGTTGTTATCTCAGTTGATTTTGTCCCTTGGAACCGAAGCCAGTTTTTTCGCCGTTTCAATTTTTGTATAGTTACATCCACTACTTTCGTCTCTTTCCCCCATAACAATGCCTTGCTGCATCTGTTTTGGGTGATTCCCGGTCTGTGCTAATATTTTTATCCAGCGTCCCCACGGGTGTCCTCCGTATCGCTTGTGACACTGGCTTATCACGACCCCCACTCATCAAATAGTTGACGTCCATCCCAGCTCAACTTGTAACGAACAGTTTTACAATCTCCCTGTAGGGACCGAGCAATATGGCTGACTCTCCACCACCACCCTCAACCTGGAATTTTACTACAATGGCTGGGAATGTGGTACAGTTTCTCAGACTTCCAGTGCTGGCATCGTCGGGTTTGGCCATTATCGCCAGTGGTATGCTCTATTTCAAGCAAAAGTAAGTCGCCGACATGTATCGACATTACCAGTTTCATCTCAATTGACATTTTTTACTGTTATCAAGTGAAATAATTTACCCTCGTAACGTTCCTATTGGGTCCCGTACTGAGGTCCCCAAACCATCGGATTTTGGGATGAACGACTATGAGGACCTTCGAATCCCGACTCCCGATGGAGAATCTCTCGCTGCGCTGTTTATCCGCCCATCTCATACGCGACATTCGAAGCCTAAAATCACCGTTCTCATGTTTCACGGTAATGCAGGAAATATCGGTCACCGTCTTCCCATTGCGCAGGCCTTAGAACAGTCCCTCAACTGTAATATTTTGATGCTCGAATATCGCGGCTATGGCCAGTCTACAGGCACTCCCGATGAACAGGGCTTAAAAATTGACGCCCAAACCGGTTTGGATTACATTCGCCGGCGCGCGGAGACAAGCGATACAAAAGTTCTGGTGTACGGTCAGAGTATTGGTGGTGCAGTCGCGATTGATTTGACTGCAAAAAGCCAGCAGCGAGGCGACGTAGCAGGATTGATACTGGAGAATACGTTCTTGAGTGTTCGAAAGATGATTCCAAGGTATGACGGCCATAGTGCTGGTCCATTTAATGTTTTTACTTACTTGATTAGTTACTTCTTTACTTGTTTACTTTTATTTTCGATTATCAGCCGTCTTCAAGGCTAATAAATTACACCCGTTCTCCAGTGTCTTCCCCGCTGCCAAGTACGTTGTTCGTCTTTGTCACCAATACTGGGCTAGCGAGGATACATTGCCCAAAATTACACAGGTCCCAATTCTGTTCCTGAGTGGGCTAAAAGATGAAATTGTCCCGTACGTACTTTATTTCCAAGTTTCTGTCTATGAGACTCAGTATGCTAATATATAGTCGGCCCCTTAGCCCCAGCCATATGGCCCAACTTTTTTCAATCTGCAAATCTAGCACCAAAGTTTGGCGAACTTTCCCAAATGGTCAACACAATGATACCGTTGCTGAACCAGGGTACTTTGACCATATTTATTCATTTGTCGTGGACCACGTTCTAGACGACTGAGCCATCTTTCACTCGTCTTAATGACCTGTTATTACAAAGTTATGGGCATCGCGGAATAAAAAGGTTAACATAACCCCCCGACTTGGACAGCGGAAGAAAATTGTCCTCTTAAAACAAGGTGTAAGACCATGTCGCACTAGAAGATATATCGCTACTTATCAGGGTGGGCTATGAAACATGGGAAATGCGATATCCTCGTGTAAACGCTGTTGGATCCCTCCTCTATCCAACTCCTTTTTCTGATTCTCAGCATCCATCTCCGGGACATTCAAAAAACCTCGCCGCAATAATGGTATATATAGTTTCTTGATCCCAAACTTCTTTTCCCCCAATTGCGTCCAATTATTTGGATGCGTCTTCTCATCTACCTCTGAGATACCCTTGGTATAATTTAATATTTTTAACTCCTGAACAACTGAAAACAAAGACTTTTCTAAGAGGTCGTATATTGTGTTAGTTTTCTATGGTTCCCTGTGTGGGCACTGAACCTATCTTCCATAAAGGTAGCAAGGTACATTTTATATACCAACACGGGACCTGCACAACTTTCATTCCACCGTCCTATTTAAAAATATGGCTGGGGCTGATTTTGGCCTAACTCAATACCAATAGATCGAGAATTACAGTGAAGACACCTTTGTGATGACACCTTTAACAATGCGATAATCATACGTGGATTTACAGGGAGTTTCTGCCTTGGAACCTGAAATATTTTTGCACACCAAGTAGCAAAATAGCGGGGAAATAATATCACCTCTTCCTCTTTATCGTACACAACTCTTTATAAAAATGCAAATTGCAAACGGCTGATTAGATCCTCTCGGCCTCTTCCATCAAATCTTCCAAGTTGAATCCATTAACATCGCCTTGGGTAAACATCCTTACTAACTCAGCCTTCTTCCCCGCCTGATTACCACCCACACCACAGTCATAAAATCGTTGCAACCACATCACCAATAACTTTGCCTCATCCACAGACACACCACGATCCGGGACCACGCTCCCATTCATAAGAACCAAGCCGGACTTGTCCGCGAGGTCGAGGTGGTGTGTGATGATCGTGTGTGGTTGAGAATACGCACCGTGAAGTTTGTACGAGGCTAGGTGAGTGAAAAGCACTGTGGCTGTATGGGTATTTAGTGTGGGTTTGGATTCGATCCCTACAGCTACAGGAGTAGATGTTGTAGCACCAGCAGGAGGATGGAACGCCCATTGCAAGAAATGAATATCTGCTCTTGTGCATACTGATTGAGCCGAGGCTGCTGTAGCCTCGGCCTTCACCCCTTCGGGCTGGCCGCTTTCCTCCGTCCTAGGGAGTGGCAAAACAAATTGTGGATTTTGCCTGGCCGTGGCAACCATACGCAAGTATGTATCGATTGGGATCGTAGCACAAATAGATTGTGGATTAGAGGCATGCCTCAAGCGCCAGAGAGTTGCTATTTCTTTTGCAGGAAGTGTAAGGATCTTGGGAATGTCAAAATAGGAGGACAAAGCTTTTATTCCGGGGGTTTGGCTTTTCGAAGCTGATGGAACTATACGAGAGGTGCCAGGGAGATGCGCTGCAGGCCTTGGGCTGCCATTTGAGCTCTGATATTCTGGGATGCTCTCTGCTTTCGTGTCGAGGTCCTTCTTATCCCGGTAGGCCTCCTTAAGAGCAGAAATCGAAGTGAAACCCTCTCTTCAACGCCGGATTCATTGTAAGCAGTCGTACACACACGCTAGAATACCGCATCCGTTGTGATATAAATGGCTTACTGTTTGGCTTTGCAATCTAACTTCTCCCTGTATCTCTCGAGCACATGGTTTGGATCATCGCGTGTCGTCAAACACCTCACGTCATGGACTTGGGCCCATTGCCGCTGGTTGTGCGGGAGCAACGGCCCCCCACCGCGTATGATGTGTCTACCGCCTGCAGCTCGAAGCGGAGTCATACCAATGGACGATACGGGGATTTGATTGGGAAAGAAGCGCTATTGCTTCCAAGAGCGAAAACAGAGGCCTTTGATTGCCAAGCCCCGTTTTCGCCTATTGTTCGCTAGAATTCCACGTGACTACACCTATTTTTTTTAACTAACTATAAGCAGTGCTACTTATCTCAGCATGCTCAGCCTCTTTTCTCGATATTTTCAGATTAGCGCGATCAACTAAACTTCTTTAGACTTCTGCCAAGTCCTGCTAACTTCTGGACCAATCAATTACTCCACACGTGCTCACAACATAATATCTCATAGAGAGTCTGAGAAGAAACAGTTCCATCATCTGTGGAAAATCAAACCTGCATATACAAAATATTCAGTTGACTTCAGAATCATACATCTATCTTAAATATCTATCTGATCATCATCAAATTGATATTTTTTAAATCCTTAGCCATCTCACTATCATCTCTGCTATTTTGCAACTTGCTACCTCTTCTCATCATGCCACAACCATTGACCAAAGACACCGTGTCTTTTGAATCTCAAGACACCCAACATCAGGCGCGGTTCAACCAATATCCTTTACCACTTGAAGATGAATCCTCTCAACAACCACTACACTCTTTCAATAATCTAGATGATGGATATGAGACATCAGATAGTGATTTAACAGACTTTGAATTTATTGATACTCCTTTAGAATTTGAGATCACTGATATCAATACTCCATCAGCTTGTTCACAACCAAACACCTGTGGCCCACAGCGCCTGCCTACTATGCCTTATCCCCTCGTCCGTAGGTTTGTGCAAAATTAGCGTGGTTTCAATTAGTGTATGGAATTCTGCACCGGCGCCCTGGGCATAACCAATAGAATCCTATATAATTTTATATGAATAATAATTGGTCATTTAGATCCACTGATTGAAGATCCCATGTAAATCTTAAGAATGCGTATGGAATTCAATGCGTTTGAAGCCCTGCCTGTCTGCCTGCCTGCCTGATTCTCATATATTCACCCACCTAACCCCCTACCCGCGAATATGGAACCCCCCAAACCTGCGAACGTGGAATCCACTGAGAAACCTACTAAATCCAATGGTGAGTTCCTTATATTAATCAATTCAAATGACCTAGCTAACTAATTCATTCTCTAGTTCATACAAAAACATCAAGAAAATGAAAACGGCCTGTTGAGGAGGTTATTGCAGAACTTCCACCTCTAGAATCAGTGAAATTCCACCCAATACTGCTTACCTCATGAGATCCAATTCTCAATATTTCTGCAAATATCAATATTAGCAGTCCATACACCCTGTTTACCTTATTCTTCTTTGAGGAATGCTTTCAAAATATCAGTAATTCTACTAATCTCTATGCAAAATTAAAGAGAGATACTAGAGATACTGATGATGAAGCTCCAGAGCTTTCAGAAATGGAGGAGAATGAGAAAGCTCAAGATATAGATATAGAGATTTCTGAAATATCTATATTCTCAAAGCCTTCTATTCAGCAATGTTCATGGAAAAATATCAATCCAGTGGAGATAAAGGTCTTTATAGGCATTCTTCTCTATATGGAAGTTCATAAATCCCATCGAACTGATCTATACTGGTGGAATGATCTGAAACAAGGCTCTATTCATTCCATTCAATCCTATATGACCCATACGCGTTTCAAACAGATTAAACGATATATCCATATATCTAACCCTCATGAGGCCCGCCGCCCGGAGGCTAAAAATAAGGATTGGTGGTATAAGGTAGAGCCATTAGCTACTAAGTTTCATATGACATGCTGAAAATACTATACCCCTGGCTCTAAGATTTCCATTGATGAGATTATGGTTAAATGCTTCGGACAGAGTCAACATACATACTGTCAGGTCAACTGCCCTGGCTTAGTAATCCTTCCACCATATAACTTGCCACGGAGCTAGCAATCCTTCAATCAAGCAAGCTTTACACCTTCCACAGGTTATGAGGCCCGTTTTGCGCACTACGCTGCCAATTCGGGGATTCCTTGCCGATTTAATCCCTATTTAATATTGCTTCATTCGATACGCCCCTTTCGGCGTTAAAATCGTCTTATTCTATCCAAATCGGCGCGTTCTGAAGATCTTGTTTTGATTCGTGCCGCTGCGCGCTTAGAAAACAAGCTTGCAGGGTGGAACGCACCACGTTGGAAATTAAACCTCCGATTGGCGAATAGAACGCCACGAAAGCTTATATTGGCAAGGATCTGATCCAAGGTGCCTTTATTTGAAAATCAATACGGAGTATGGCGGATCGATCTAGATCTCGCCCTCATACCCGCTCACAGTCTCGCGTCTTGCCCAGCGGTTCAATTGCTGGCAATGATGACGATGATGTCCCTCCACGCCCGAGCTCTGCTCATGAACGGTCAGAACGCCCGCCTGGTTCATTTGACAGCTCTATTATAGAGCCCTCTAACCCTCCCGAAACGCCCTTCCGATTCGCTGCCGGCCTGAATACGGCTCCTGACACAGTCAGGCCTGCGGCCCGACCTACCCAACCTACCCAATCTACCCGAACCACCCGACAGCTCAGTGAGGCTGGTTCTCATCATGATGAGGCGGCTCGACGTTTTGAGGCCTTGCTTTCCGACGAGGTCTTGTCGGACGTGCAATTGCAACGCCTCATGATGACCTTTGAGATGGAGAAGGAGAGGCGTAAGATCATGGAGGAAAAACGGAAGGCTCTGGAAATCGAGTTAAAACTAGAAGAAATGCGTGCTCGCAGAGCCGCGAATAACCCTCAGAATGCTGATAATAATACACCGACTACTCCTACAGCCCGAACGCACACATGGGACCCGGATCTTGGTGAAAGATTGGAGTATAACCTCTATGATCCGGACAGCCGTGTCGGCAAGGCAATCGCCCAATTTAAAGAAGATGTAAAATCAATGACCAAGCCGAACGCTCTGACCGGCACGTCAAATTTCCTCACATGGAACGCGTCAATGAAGACCAAGCTGGTTGACGCGCAGTGCTGGGGTATAATAGAAAAGCAGCAGGTTCAGAACCCCCTGCAGGACCCCGAATGGGCTCCCTTTTGGGACGCCCGAAACCGTTGGACCTACGCGTTCATTTCGAACTCTTTGGGTGCGAACGTCAGGCCACGTTTCATAAAAAATGATGAGAATAGGATTGCTTACACCCTCTGGCGGGCAATTGAGGAGGAATACTCTATCCCCAAGACCCAGCTCCGCCGAGAGGCAGTCCTAGAATTCACATCGCTTGGTGGCACTCAGGTCACTAACGTGCACAGTTTCTTTGATAAGTTCCGTGCCGCGATCATGAAGTTGGAAATGATGGATGCTCACCCGCCTGACGCGTGGGTATTTGACATATTCTATTCCGCCCTTCCGAACGTTTGGAGGGGTTATGTACAGAAGAAGATTGAGGAGGCCCAAGAGTCCAAATCGACCCCGGTTGTATTGGACGTTCACCTTCTCATGGAGGAGATCCGATCTCGATTGGACCCTCCAAAAGATAAAAAGCCCGCACAATCGGTGAATACAGCTGCCAACGCTGCCCAATCGGGGGCCACAGCAGCTGCCGATTCCGCGAACAATAATAGCCCGAATACATCTAACTCGGCCCGTGGAGGTCGTTCCGGACGCGGTCGTGGCGGCTCCCGCGGCAGTGGCCGTGGTGGAGCTGGCAATCCGCCGACCTGCTCCGAGTGCAATAGATCCCACTTCGGCACTGTCTGTTGGTTTACGAATCCCGACCAGGCGCCCGATGATTGGAAGGCCAATAATGCTACTAAGTTAAAGGAGTTCAAAGAGAAGAAGGAGAAGGCGAAGAAGGATAAGGACAATAGTGGGGGCAAGACCCAGTTAGTGATTACGGACGGGTCAGAGTCCTTTCAGATGGCGAACCTTGCAAAGGTTATAAATGTGCCGGCCTGCTTTGTGGAACCCCACAAGGATCCCCTAACCATATGGGATAGCGGCGCTGGCTGCCATATCGCGAGCGATAGATCACGATTTTCAATGCTTTTTACGATCGACGGTCCTACGGTCCAGGTGGCCAACAAGGCCGTTCTGAAGGTCCAAGGCGTCGGCATGGCGTCCATCCCAGTCGGCGAGAGGTTGATTGAATTCAATCACGTATACTACGTGCCAGGACTGTCAGCTAACCTCATCTCCGCTGGGCTTATGGAACGCCAGGGCTATATTCGCCGTGATATGCACGTTGACGCTGGAAATTATTTTGAGTTCCTGTCCCCTACTGGCAATGACGTGTTCTATGCCAACCTTTCCCGCAATAATATTTACATCCTATCCGACAGTCCTCCGACGTTTGACGGCGTTATGAATGACCAAGAATATGGGGCGGTCGCGTACGTGGCTGTTCCGAAACCAAAGACAATTTCAACGGATTATGATCCGAACGCAGGGTCCCTAGGGCCGTTCAACCGTGAGGAGGTTGAGCAATTGATTAACCCCAAGGATCCGGATACGGATTCCTTCGTCATATCCCCACCTAACCGACTCCCTGCCGTGGTCCCGAAGCAACTGCCGTTTGATGAATGGCACCGTAGATTGGGCCATATCGGCGAAAATAATATATTGAAGATGGCCAGGGACCCTCGCTTCGGAATTGCCATTATCGGCCCGAAGAAGTTGTCATTCTGCGCCACGTGCGTCAAAGCCAAGCAGAGGCGCGCTACGTATAAGAATTCCGCACCACGCCGTGCCACTCGCAAAGCTCTTAAGATTTGGGTGGATATTTTCGGCGGAGGTGAGACCCTAGGAACCGAAAATGACATATCCTCCTACGCCGGCAAGAAACTTGCCATGGTCATTACAGACGACGCAACGCGAATGAGATGGATTTTCCTACTGGAACGCAAGGATGAGACGTTGAAATATTTACGAATCTTCAACCAATTCATCAAGAACCTGCTGGGCCGTGGCATCGCGATTATACACTCCGATCGCGGCGAATTGAATTCGAACGCGGCTACGGCATATATGCTTAGCGAGGGGATTAAGTGGGAACCCACTCCCCCCCATACTCCACAACAAGATGGGGTATCCGAACGTTCGATCGGGTTAATTATTGAAAAAGCCCGATCGCTATTAATAGACTCTTCCGCTCCCGAAAAGATGTGGGGTGAGGCGGTTATTGCGGCCACGGAGCTGCTCAATCTTATGCCGACCTCCACGATTCTATATGGCGGTCCCGAAAATATGAAGCCGATTACCCCATATGAGGCATGGCTTGGAGCGCTCCCGTCGGCCCGTGGAATCCGCCGTTGGGGTTGCAAGGCGTTCCTGAAAATAGTCCCTAAGCCCACGAATAAGATGGCTTCCCGCTCATTAGAGCTAATTTTTGTAGGTTACGATGGCTTTACCAATTACAGGTTGGTTGACCCTTCCAATGGGCGTCTATATATATCCAAAGACGTCATTTTCCAGGAGGATCTTCACCTTATGGATCCGTCGGCCCCAGCCACTGGGCACCCGAAGACCCTACCCACGGCGGCCCGCCAGGCGGCTGCAGCGATTCCTTCGCCGATTCCTTCGCCGACTCCTGGCCCGATTCCTTCAGTTAATGACCTATTCATCGATGAAGAAGTCCAACCCCTCCGTCCGCTATTCCTAGTTCCCACCAATAATTGGTGGATAGACTATGAAATATCAGCGAGAATACCGACCTTTTTGGTGCAGAATACACCGATTTCCCCTAGCCCTCCTATTGAGATTGAGGATACCCCGACAATTACAGGGAATAACGATTCAGTGGGGGAATCTTCAGTGGGGGACGGTTCCGATGATCTGCCTTCCGATCCCGAGATATATGGGTTGCCGATTCCGAAGAATCTCACGCGCGCTAAGGCTTCCCCTGAGTGGAAGTTCTACTATAAGGCCTGCGTTAAAGAGGTTAATCGCTTAAAGCAAATTGGGGCCTGGCGATTAATTGAAAGAACCCCTAATATGGCGGTCCTTCGGGGCCAATGGGTGTTCGACAAAAAGTTCAATAATATGGGCAAAGTAGTCCGCTATAAGGCCCGCTGGGTGGTCTGCGGCAATTATCAACAAAAGGGTGTCAACTATTCGAAGACCTTTGCACCCGTCGTTTCCGCCTCCACGTCCCGAGCTCTCATGGAAATCTCGGCATCCCGAGGGTGGCACGTTCTGCAAATCGATATGGTAACCGCGTTCTTGAACGCCCAACTGCCGGCCGACGAACGGATATATATGAGCCAGCCTACGGGCTTCCGTGAAGGTCGTGGCGATCTTGTTTGCGAATTAATGCAGGGACTCTACGGTCTTAAGCAAGCAGCGCTTTTATGGTATGAGGAACTGCGAAAAATGCTATTGCAGTCAGGCTTCCGTGTCAGTCCTTACGATGCTGGACTGTTCATTCATGACGCGAGAAAGGTCTATATGACTGTATACGTGGATGACGTACGCCTATACGGCCCGAAGATCGAAGATCTCAACTGGGCCAAGGCCGCAATCGCCGCTAATTACGAAATCAAGGATGTGGGCGATTCGAACCGATATTTGGGCATGAAGATTGAGCGGGATTCGACCTCCCTTACGTTGTCCCAACCCCTATTTATTACGAATCTTCTGGAGGAATTCGCTATGGATGACTGCCACCCTACGTCTACTCCCATAGAGGAGAACGTTGATTTCATGAATGACAATGAGGAACCGGTCGCTTATACGGCGGAATTTACCCTACGCTCCTATCAGTCAGGCATTGGATCCCTGCAATACCTTGCGACCAATACACGTCCTGACGTTAGCTTTGCAGCAGGCTTTCTAGGCCGATTCAGCGCCCGCCCTACCTCGAAGAATTGGGCCGCTTTCAAACGTACGCTCCGCTACTTGCAGGGCACGATTAATGCGGCTATTTTAACCTACTACAAAGACGCCGATATCGAACCCGTGGCGTACGCCGATGCCGATTGGGCCGGTAGGGATCCGGGATCCCGCTCAACTACCGGCTACATCATATATATGGCGGGGGGCCCCGTCGCCTGGCGAAGCTGCCGGCAGACAGGGGTCTCCAAATCATCAACCGAGGCCGAATATATCGCATCCTCCGAAGCCGCATATGAGCTCGTCTGCCTACGGGAGCTCCTAGAAGATGCCGGTTTCGTGCCGTCCCGCCTCAATAATCTGGATGCCGACGATCACCCCAACCCACCTCCGGCGAATGGCCTTGCTTATACGATTCATGCCGATAACAAGTCTGCCATCGAGCTATCCTCTTCCGAAGCGATTCCGCGCCGATCGAAGCATATAGAGGTCCGATTCCATATCCTTCGGGATCTCGTCCGCAAGAATGAGATATCGGTCCGGTACGTCCCATCCGCCGAGAACGCGGCAGACGGGTTAACCAAGCCGCTCGGAATGTTGAAATATACGCGTTGGAAGGAGATTATTAAGATGAAGGGATAGGGGGGTAAAAATTGATGGATTTGATGGCTGGTTTTTTTTTTTTTTAACTACTTCGTTTTTCCAGTTGTCTTTGTACCTGTACTTGATTTGAAGGCAAATTTTGTATGTAGCATTGTGTATAGTTACTATGGTGAGTGGGGGTGTCAGGTCAACTGCCCTGGCTTAGTAATCCTTCCACCATATAACTTGCCACGGAGCTAGCAATCCTTCAATCAAGCAAGCTTTACACCTTCCACACATACAAGATGTCTAATAAACCAATTCCTTGAGGATATAAGATATTTGGCCTAGCAGAACATGGCTATTTATGGTCTTTTTCCTGGTCTAGCCGCCGGCAGGGTATAATGCCTATGTTTCAATTCCCTATGTTAACAAAAACCGGATCTATACCCTAGTGCGCCGTCCGACGCGCCCCCGTCCGATCTTCTCCCTCCCTGATTGGCCGCCCGTGCGTGCTCCCGCTCCCGCCGCCGCGTGCCCGCAGTGGCCCGGTCGCGGTCGAGCTCCCTCTTCCCTTCCCTTCCGCGGCAGCCAGCCACCCCATTACTTCAAACTTTGCATGTAGGCCGTAGTGGATATGGAATACAACATATCCAAATCAAAAGCGATAATTCCGCCGGGAAGGGGTTACATTGTGGTGTCAAAGTCAATGAGTTGAGGTGCGATGTTTGATGGGGTAAGCCATCAACCCAACCAGACCCAACTAAATATCTATATTTTCACCCAGGCAACGGAGCGGTGCAAAGCGGTGCAAGATCAACAAAGTAAATAAAAATAGCAAAACATATAAGAAAACTGAAAGGCTTCATCCTGGAGTGATTTTAACCACAGAAAAACAAACATTCACACCAGATCAGATCTGTCAAGTTTCACACAAAGACACTGAATGAAGGAAATATATATATATTCAATGCACAAGACAGACCCAGCATCGACATGGAACATCAATTATTTATCCACTGTGAATCATACCTCATTATCATATGCCGCCGGTGCAAGCACGCTGTGTGGCCAACAGAGATTGAACGGCATCTGAAAGGCAAGGCCCATCAGCTAAAGCATGCGGTGGTTCAGCAGATAAAGGAGAACATTGAACAGTGGGACAATGTGGCTCGAGATACTACACAGTTAACACTGCCCACATACTACACAGTTAACACTGCCCACAATACTGAATGAACCAATCCCGGAACTACCCATTCAAGATGGCTACAGGTGCCAGCAGGATCCCCAGTGCCAGTATTTGGCAGGGAACATGAACACCATACGCAAGCACTGGCAGAACAAGCACAGCTGGTCGCCATATCCCAGCCGTGGCCGTACAGCGCCACAAAAGCGTACGGCAGCACAGGATGAGGTGGACAGATCATGCCAGAAGGTGCAGTTCCAGCAGATATTTGCATCGCGCAAGGGCTCCCACTACATACAGATCCAGACTAAGGAGACTACTGAGCATACCGGCACGCCAGACCAGAACAGAGCCAGCCAGGCCATTGATGAGCTGGAGCGATTTTACCAGGAACAGCAACGGCAGACCAGCAATGTCATCCAGGCCGGGGAGCACGATGAAGCCAACCCATGGCTGCGGCGGACCAGATGGCCGGTGTACTTGACCAACATCGCACCCAATGATCTGGTCAACTGCGTGCAGCGGCCCGAGGATGACACCACGTGCCCAGATGAACTGGCCGCGAGGGCCATCTGGGAGGCCATGGGTCAGGTTGCCCGTACCAGCCAGCGAGTCATCACACGGCTGGGCCACTATCCAACAGGTGGGGGTGGAATGGACGTCCATTCCATTCAGGGTTAGAAAACCGACCAATCAGAGCAGGGCAGATTGGACGTACATTCCATTTGGTTTCAGACGTTGAACGTCCAATCAACCACGGAGTCAATTGACTTCAAACTTTGCATGTAGGCCGTAGTGGATATGAAATACAACATATCCAAATCAAAAGCGATAATTCCGCCGGGAAGGGGTTACATTGTGGTGTCAAAGTCAATGAGTTGAGGTGCTATGTTTGATGGGGTAAGCCATCATCCTCTCGAGACCCTACTAAATATCTATATTTTCACCCAGGCCACGCGAGCGGTTAGGGTTACTAGATCAAATCAGTGACTCGATGTAGCGTCTTCTGTGATGCACCTGAACGGCCTCCTTCTGTACTGATTTTAATCGCTGAA